GTTGCACCATTTGATTTTATTCACTCTGATGTCTGGGGACCTGCTTCTATTACTACAAAAGGAGGGTCTAGATATTATGTTTCTTTTATTGATGACTATAGTCGTTATTGTTGGGTTTATTTTATGAAACGACGTTCTGACTTTCTTTTTAGAGCACTTATTAATACTCAACATTCTTTTGTAATTAAGTGCTTTTGACGTGATTTGGATAGAGAATATATTTCAACCGATTTCTCTGAATTACTTGCTCTTGATGGCACAATCCATCAAACCTCGTGTACTAATACTCTACAACAAAATGGTGTTGCTGAACGAAAGTATAGACACATTGTAGAAACTGTCCGTTCCCTTCTTTTGTCTGCCGAAATTCCCATTGAATTTTGGGGGAAAGCAATTCTTACTGCTGTTTCTTTAATTAATAAAATTCCTTTTTCCGACAATTCAGGATTATCACCCTTTGAAACATTATATGGACATCCTCCTAATTACTCTTCATTGAGAGTCTTTGGCTGTACTTGCTTTGTTCTTCGTCCTAAGGCTGAACGTAATAAGTTGACATCTCATTTTGCTATCTGTGCTTTCTTGGGTTATGGGCAAGGACAAAAGGGTTATCGTTGTTTTGATCCCATTAATAAGAAATTATATGTTTCTCGTCATTTTGTATTTCTTGAGCACATTTCGTTCTTTTTTATTCCTGATAATACTCATGACTTGACTAAAACTGATCTCATTCGTATCGATCCATTTTCTACTGATATTGATAGACCGCCTTCCCATACCCCATGTACTGTTGATTCTTCATGCCCTACAGGTACACGTGCGCCAGCTCATGATACTCCTCCTAATTCTATGGCTTCCCAAGCACCGTTTGAGATTGTTGATCTAGCTCCCGCTCCCCCTATTCGTCGATATCTTGAACATATTTGTAAGTACACTCAGTTACCTGATTTTGCTTATTCATGTTATTCTGAGTCATTTTGTTGTTTTTTAACCTCTATTCATAAACTATCTGAACCCACTTCCTATAAAGAAGTTATTCTAGATCTTCTTTGGCAATAGGCTATGGCTAATGAACTTCCGCTCTACATAAGACAGACACTTGGGACTTAGTTGCATTGCCTCGAGGTAAACATGCTATTGGTTCTCGTTGGGTTTATAAGATTAAAATCAAATCTGATGGTTCAGTTGAGCGTTACAAGGTTAGATTTGTTGCAAAGAGTTTTACTCAACAGTCTGGTCTGGATTATGAGGAGACTTTTGCTCCTGTTGCTAAGATGACCACTGTTCGTACACTTATTGCAGTTGCATCTGTTTGTCAGTGGAGTCTTTCTCAATTGGATGTCAAAAATGCATTTTTAAATGGATATTTTCAAGAGGAGGTTTACATGGTTCCTCCTCCTGGTCTTTCTCACTCTCCTGGATTTGTTTGCAAGCTCAAGAAGACACTTTATGACCTCAAACACCTCGTGCCTGGTTTGAGAAATTTTTCATTGTTGTTACCTCTCTTGGCTTTACATCCAGTCATCATGACTCTGCTCTATTCTTTAGAAGCACTTCTGCTGGTCGCATTGTATTAATGCTATATGTTGATGATATGATTATTGTCGGTGATGATGTTGATGGAATTGTAAGTTTGAAATCAGAATTGGCTCGTTGTTTTGAAATGAAGGACTTGGGTGCATTATCTTATTTTTTGGGGATCGAAGTTGCTTCTTCTCCTAGAGGTTATCTTCTCTCTCAGTCCAAATATACTATGGATGTTATTGAGCGTGCCCGTCTTACTGATACTAAAATAGTTGATACTCATCTCGAGTCCAACGCTTGATATTCATCCTCTAACGGTGTACTATTGCGTGATCCCACTTTGTATCGCACTATTATTGGATGTCTGGTTTATCTTACCATCACACGTTCTGATATTACTTATGTCGTTCACATTATTAGTCAATTTGTTTCAGCTCCTACTACGGTTCATTGGGCAGCAGTTGTTTGTATTTTGCGTTATCTTCGTTGTACATGCTTTCAAAGTCTTTTGTTTCCGTTGACCTCATCTTTACAAGTGCAATTTTTGTACTTGAGCTCTTAATTCATCAGCAAGCTCTCCCTGGCGATTCTCATCAGGAGCTTTCTCTCCATTTCTCACGCATGCCATGTGTGCAATTGCCCTAAATAAACACCTCCCATCGTCGGGAACCCCAGCATAGATTTCATTATACAATAATCTTTCAATTTCATATATGTTCCAAAATTACAACTAAAACAACTAGGAAATAAAATAAAATCGGTAAGTTTTAATTTATTTTTTTAATTTTAATTTAGAACGATAAAATGATCACTTTATCCTTTTCATTTTTTGAATTTGATAGTCAACTACGTTGAAATGGATGTAGATGAGCAACTTTAAATTTTCAAAAGTTAAATATTAACAACGGCAAATCAGTCCATGCTCTTGCAAACTTTAACTAGAAAAGGCTAAGCTCCTTTATTACAATCGTTAATTTTTTTTTAATTCATTTTTAACTATACATTCTCACAATAAAATATTTTGCACGTAAATTCAAATTTTTTTCTTATCCTCTAATTACACATTCTTCAAAAAATCACAATTTCAAAACTCATTTTTCCAAAAAAGAAAATTATTCAATTCTTAATGGAAAATAACTTTTTTGCGTCTTCCTACTACGGAGTCTGCTACAGGTACATAATTTTTTGTACATAATGGGTTATGTACAAAAAATTATGTACTACAAGCATTGTTCTCCTACAATAATTGCACAAGGCATTCACCATTATCCACCAAAACAAACCATTATGTGTGGTTGAATGGTTTTATATAAATTTCAATTTCAAAACACTAATTAATTTGAGTAATATTATTCATTATCACTATTGTTAAGCATCAATTAATTTGACAATTACATGATATTAAATAATAGATCATTTAAATAAAGTTATATAACTCATTTAATTCAACATGTAGTATTATTCAATGAATGCGGAATGCAAAGATTATTCAAGAGAAATGTAAATTTTTTACATTGAATTGAAAATTGGCCGTTATATTTCGTATCATACACAGTCGACAACGAATAAAGTAGTAGATTTAAATTATAAATTAATATGCTTTTTATATATTTTTACCAGCAATAAATAATAAATATTGTGTTCTTCTCATCATCCTCACAAAACGAAACCCACCCAAATTCAACGATGTCACTTGATCCGACCACCTTTGAAACCATAGTCCCTTCCCGCTACATAACCTTCACATTCCCTAAGCCTCTTTCCAGCCACCACCTCCGCGTCTCCGTTCTCGACTCTCCATCTTCATCCGCCGCCAGAATCGCCGCCATGTGGGTACCACCCGGTCGCGAATCCGACTGGATTTTCTCCACTTTCTCCGGCCATCTCCAGCTTCTCCTCTCCTCCACCACAGCCCACCACCTCTCCCGCTTAATCCTCATTGGAAATCCTCCTGTGCACTCCCACCCCATCTCGTATTTTTCCACGCCCTACCCCTCATCCAATCAGTCAAAGGAAACCGAAGAAAAATTACGCCCTTTATTGCTAGCTCTAACTCCCAAATCAGCTTTCTATCAAAAGGGTATTTGTAATAATGAATTCCCTGAAATTCCTTTCTTGATTTATGAAGACGAGGTGACTGGATGCGCAATTTTGGAAATATGTGAAGGGCCTTGTGCTGGTGAAATGCTAATAGAAAATGTTGTGGTGGAAACTAATTCCACGAAAGAGTTTAGGAGGAGATTGAGGTTTAAGAGAATGCCAAATTTAGTGCAAACCCAGATGAGAATTCTTCCGAAAAATGAATTGAATTCTAGAGAATTAGATAACTTGGAGTTTGTAATAGATAATAATGTTCTGGTTCATCCATATTTGAGTCCCATGGTAGGGGGCCTTTCGGTAATTGCACCTCATCTGGAAAGTCGAATCAAGGGTGGGATTAGGCCGAAAGCTTTGTGTCTGGGGATCGGTGGTGGTGCATTGCTTGGATTTTTGAGTTCCCAATTGAATTTTGATGTCACCGGAGTGGAGAATGATGAAGTTGTACTGCAAGTAGCGAAAAAGTATTTTGGATTAGAAAGCAATGAATTGATTCACTTAATCGTTGGAGATGGGATAGAACTTGTTGAAAAGCTTGCGAAGAATATAACTGCTGATTGTAAGTTTGATATGATCATGGTTGATTTGGATTCGAGTGATGCAACACTGGGCGTTTCCGCCCCACCTTTGGGGTTTGTTACGAAGTCAGTTCTTCTGGCTGCAAGAGAGGTTCTTTGCGAGCTTGGTGTTCTTATCATTAATGTGATTCCTTCAAGTAAGTTGTTTTTCAAGAGGTTAATTAGTGAGTTTGATGAAGTTTTTGAGGAGTTATATGAGATTGATGTTGGGAATGGGGAGAATTTCGTTCTTATAGCCACACTGTCAAAAATTGAAAATGATTTGAACGCGTGTGAATATTCACTTTTGAATAAGTTGAAATCTGTTTCAGGATCATATATAAGTACCATACAGAAAATCTCAAGGAGTGCTGAACAAGAATTTTGCAAATAGCCTTTTGGAAGCTATGTGGCAACTTGAATGGCATACATTGTTCCTTTATAGTGATCTACAATGAAATGAGGAAGTTTAGGTTATAAAAATCAGGAGTTGCAGGGCTAAAAGAGTCGTAAAGCTGAGAAAGAAACTAACTTTTCAATGCTTTGTGAAAAACCACTGGAATTAATTTGGGTTCTGTTGGTGATATTATAAGTGTTTCTGAAGAATTAAATTTGCAGTGGGCAGTTGCTGGTGTTGGTTTGTAAAAGTCGAAGGCTAATTGGTTGGTGGCAATAATTTATTCCCTAGAGTTAAAGGCACTTCTCTCTTGTCAAGCTCTTTGAATTTACTCAAATGTTCTAAATTCTGGGAAGCCATGGTGTCGTGGGGAAAAAAATAATATCATACAGTTGCCAAATGATTTAGAGTACAGATAATATGGTCATCTGAAGTTATATTACTTTTATCCCAGCTACCAACATCATAAAAAGGTCTATAGAAAATTGAAGGACAAGTTTAAATGGTGCTCTTGATTATTTATTGATGCTTATAACCAAACAAAAGGACGCCTCACCAAATTCAGAGACTTCTACACTAAGGTAGCTGCTGTTGAATTTTTATGGAACTCAAATTTATTAATGCACTTCTCTAATTCGTAGTCTTGTACTTTGTTATAGCTTTTACCATGCAACATGAAATATTTATGCAAGCATTCTACTGTAAAATTTGTCCCCACTTTCTCTCTGATATTTTCACTGATTGTGCAAAATAGTTAGATAACATTATGCTGTCATAGAACTCCTTGTGCGAGATTTGGACAGCAAAACTTCAGTTGTTTGAATAAGTTTCCCTATTGGACATCCACAACAGTTAAAACAGCTTGAATTGTGCCCATAGTTTTATAAAGTTTTACTTTAACTACTAGAATTTTTTTGGGTTCTGTTGCGATGTATATTAAAATCCTTTTCTCCTTCCTCCTAAGTGTACAGGAAGTTGTCCACTGACTGATTTTTTATGAATCATTGTATACAAGTGTGAGGGAGTGCCTAAAAACCCTGTTAATAAGAATGATCTCTGGTGGATAGTAACAGAACAATTGTTTAGAGTGATCAAAATACTGCTCCAACTGCAAATGTCTTCAATCTTGTTTTCCTTTATCACGTCTTTGCAGTATACTAATTTAAAATATCAAGCAGGCAATGAACCTTTCACAAACCCGTTCAAAATGTTCTCTTTTCACTGCAAAAAACACAACCAATCTTTCTAATTTTTCATAGAATTCCCTGCATTACTTAGTTTGGGGAGTCCACTATATGTTTTCAACACCTTTTTCATTCTGTTTTGCTTCTTTACAAGTCAAGTCTCACGAATTTCTTCCAAAATCCTGCCTCAATTGTTCAGGAACAATGGAAACATGAGATAATTGTCACTCTTCAGCTGACATTTGCATGGAAATCGATGGATGAGAAGTGTTAAATCATGATTTGCAGTTTCATGATATTTCAAGAAATCAGCTTTAAATATATTCTCCCTTCCAATTTTATTTGTCCAGATGGCATAGTGAATTTCATGTTCATATTTAGGCATGCTACATAAAATTTTATGCAGGAAATGCCATGTTCCATTTTTCCAATTTTTAGATATTTTGAATTAAGGTGACACGTATTCTTTTCTTTCTTGTTGCCCATTTGTTATCAGAGGATACCTTTTCGGCTTGACGGACACATGATTTCTCTATTGTTAAAAAGTTCATAACATCATAAAATATACTATTTTAACTTTTCAGTGTGAAGCCTTGTTTCTAATCTTAAGTTATCTGTATTTAAATTTAATTTGAGGTAGATTTTCATGGTCACTATATAGCTTGATCCTAGTATTGGATTTTTCTCTTCAGTACAATTTCATGTTGGGTTATAATGATAGTATTTCACGGGCTGATTGAGGACGGTTATCACTATGATACTGTAAACACTTGTTTCTTAATAAAACCATATAACAACTCGTTCTGTACACGTAGCCATGTTGAAGAATTTATACGGCCAAAATCAATTTTTTGTGAAAAAAATTTGGTTTTGATCACTAGTTCTAATCTGCACCATTGTATGTTAAACTGGAGCATACATCCTCTATTTGTTATTGAATACAAGGGTGAGTTGGAAGCTCAAGTATGCTCAAGATTATAGATAGAAGGATCAAAATTTCACCGGCCTAAGGTTAGTCCATGCTCTTAATTCTCCACTTTCACGATAATTTGGGAGAGCAAGATTGAGAAAAATACACAATGGACGGTTTGCATGAACTCTGTAATCTTCTGTCTTGTGCCATTGAAACTCGCTTTTATGAATCTTTTGCAGATTGAATTCAATTACTACATATAGGGGTGAAAACTCTGTTTTCCGTTCTATGAGAAATTTACGAATTCGGACTCTTTTGGAAATTATATGCAGTTACTTAGTAGCTCGGAATGTAACTTCATTCTTCATTCTCCGATCACTTTCCCCGTTTGGTTGGTTTCAGGTTACTTTGTGAAGTTTATTGAGTGTGCTTTAACAAGATTAATTTGTGTTTCATAAGTACTCTGTACGAATAAATGAAATTAATGATTTCCATCTAATACAGACCAACTGCACCAAAAATGAAAGTTTGGAGACAAGGTCGGAAAAAATAAAATTGATAGAGAGGAAGTCAGAGGACCTGTCAAGCTGGTATCAACTACATAACACGGATATCTAACTGAACTGACGACATGCCAAAAAATCACCAAGATAGAAGAAAATAAGAATAGAAAGAGATAAATCACTAATGCCATATGTACAGAAAGCCACAAGTAAAGAAGATGAGTGCTAACGTTAGAGGATTAAATCTTGCGGCTGGAACTCACTGACTCAATTGGCTCTCCACTTGTTTCTTTGCCACCCTCCGGTTCAAGATGAGCCTCCTGGACGGGGTTCGTTATCGGGTCGTCTTGGGATCTCGGTGAATGAGTATTGCTGGTTGATAAGCAGTGACAGCAATGCCTATTAATGGACAGCGTGCTATATTGAGATCTGATAGCTGAGCTGAACATGGGTTGCATATACCACTTTTTCTCCAGAATTTCACGCAGAGAAATTCGACATACAGGACATGTTGAGTTCTGCTGCAGCCATATGTCGATACACGTAGCATGAAAGGAATGGCCGCAGACTGGCAGAATACGCAATGTATCTTCGTCACGGTATTCAGCAAGGCATACAGTGCACCTATGACGCGATATTTTGCAGTCAGAATGGTGACTAAGAAAATAAAATTACCAGTGGTTTAATGCTGAAATAAGTCACTTGTTTAAAGCTTACGAGCAAAAGATACAATAGAACTAGAAATGACACTGACAAAGATCATCCCACTAAGTTTACACCAATCTAGAAAGCAACATCAAGAAACGCAGTAATGTTATTGACAGAAACAAGCATAGAGCTATGATACGAGAACAGGAGAGACAAGATGAGCCCGGATATAGCATTAGTTGAAGACAGGCATTAAGTGCAGATGAAATCGGTTTTACACGCAAACAACATAAAGACATAGCGCATGTTGGCTAAACTTAAAAAACAATACTTTCTAGTAAGTTTGCTTATAGCTAAACGAATCTCCTTTAAAATATATAACTTTTGTTGGTCAAAATTGGAAACAGGTATATTACTATTTGAACGTATTTTCCAACTTAATCTCAAAATAAACTACTTTTTCTACTTATAAATAAGAAAAACTAACTTTTCCACATAGTTAAGGGGAAAAAATGAAGTTAATCAAAACCAGTAACTTTGCTTTGCTAAACATGTTGATAGTTCGTAAGGCTTAGAAAGGAGGATTCTCGGCATAAAGTTTAGCACTCTGTTCAAAAGTAAATGTTTTAGCAATTTCTGCAGCTCTCCAGAACTTGTAGGCACAAGTAATAAAGGATACAGGAAGATAACACAAAAGAGGAAGACAGTTATAACCTCATAAGGAAGACCTAAAATTGCTTGAAATTCATAAAGAAGTTGGGGATATAGAGGATTTGAACTCCGGTGGTTCATAATCTGTCCATCT